CTTAGGAGTTTTTTTTTTTTTTTTTTTTTTTTTTTTGAGATGGAGTCTCACTCTGTTGTGCAGGCTAGAGTGCAGTGGAGCAATCTCTGTTCACTGCAACTTCTGCCTCCTGGGTTCAAGCAATTATCCTGCATTAGCCTTCAGAGTAGATGGGATTACAGGTGCATGCCATCATGCCCGCCTAATTTTTTGTATTTTTAGTAGAGACAGAGTTTCGCCATGTTGGCTAGGTAGGCTGGTCTTGAACTCCTGACCTCATGATCCACCCGCCTCTGCCTCCCAAAGTGCTGGTATTGCAGGCATGAGCCACCACGCCCAGCCTTCTTAGGAGTATTTTAAAAATACTGCTAAATAGCCTGCCTGGCTAGTGGAGATTCTAAATGGGACTGAATTTGGGATGGTGAAATTTTTTTTATTTGGTTAGGAAATGGTTCTGGTGCTAAGAACAGTATCTAGGAGTGAGATAAGTTTCTGACTTTCAGAGATATCCCCACCTCCAAAAAAACTCCAAAATCTGAAGATCTTGTATATCTGGGTGATGGGTGTAAATTAGTTCACAGAAAGAAATGGTAAAAGTTTAAGGGTGGAAATTTGTTTCTTAGAATCAGCAGCATAAACAGAGGTGAAATCTGTCATCACACATAGACCCTGAACATATGGGCTGACTATGGTATTTAAATGCTGAGATGTTGGTGACATGGAGTAATAGCAGAAACTGAATTTGGGAGGAAGAAATAATGATTATAGTTTCTAAATCTTCCTTACTATGACAAAATACGACTTGCCATTTGGATATCCTTTTGGCAACCAAATAGGTTTGGGAAGTTAACTTTATTTGCCACCCAAATTATGTGGGCAGTATACACAGCCCTTACTTTATCATCTAGGGCATAATGTTTAGAAAATATTCAGACTTTTTTTCCAGTGTTGGTTCAAAAAAATATTGATCCTTTGGTTTTATTTATATCACAGACAAAAATACTGAAAGACAGGCTGTTTATTCTCATAGAAATGGATATTCCTTTACATTCTCGCAAGGAATGTAAATAAAGTAACTTTTATAAGTGTTTTTAAACCATGGGCATGCAGTTTGTATTAGTGATACTCCTCTACCGAGTTACTGCTAATTTGCTATTTTCACGGTAATTTCAGAAAATAAGAAATGGTTAACATTTTTATTTTTTTAAATACTCCCATGAATTTCTATTAAGGATGAAAAGCATGATTACGGTATTTGTTAGAAAGTCCTACAATTTAAACTTAGTCTGGTGATCACAGTCTGCTGTTTTCTTAGCTTTTAAACCTTTTATTAGTGTAACCTCTCTTCATCTTGGTTATTTTAATGTAAAATGAGAATTATCATGCAGACTTGATTTTTACAGCAATGTTGTATGAAATGAATAAATATGGACTATTTAAAACTGGCTCAGGCATTTAGACTTGTTTCTGATAGGCTTATCACATGAACACTACTTATTACCTTGTAAACTTGTATTTTAAAAGAAAACATTGATTTGAGATAGGATTCCTGTTTTCTCTTGAGAGAAGGCGGAGGTAATTGTTTATCGTTTTTTTAAAAAATTTTAAACCAAAGGGTATATTACTTTTTAACTCTTGTGTAGCCATTAAGAGCAGCCACTATCACAGCCACAGCTCAATACAATAGTGTGGAAAATGCTGGCTTTAGAATTCTAAGATTTATATTTGAGCCCTACATCTTCACATATACTCTTAGCAAATCATTTAACCTGAGCTTCGGTTTTTTGATCTATAAAATGAGGATATATCCTACATCACAAGAATATTATGCAGAATAAATGAGGAAATACATGACATACATTGATATCAGTGTAATGCCATAGAAAGATAATGTGTTATTGACAATATTGTTGTTAATTGTAATATATTTTTCAAAAGAAAGAATTTAGGTTTTTAGATGATCACTTACTTAATAGCGTGTTCTTCTGAATTAGAACCTTTTCTTCCATACATTTTTATTTTTATTTTCATTTACTTTTAAGAGTTTCACAAACCCCAGTTCATGCTTTGGATTCCTTTCAAGTTTGAACCACTCAACATCTGCCACCTACTGACCTAGTTCTTTCCGCTTCCTCCAGCTCACCTCTCCTCATACACACGTGCTTATTATGTTTGTTGGATGATTAACCTGTCTTTCCTTTCATTTTTGTAAAGATCTAGATCAATACAGGGTTAGGAAAAACAGGTTTTGAATTTGTTTGAACTGTAAAGCAAGATGGGACATATGAGTCAATGAATAATACTCATTTCCCCCACCCCAGGAAAAGCAATTTTCAGGGGAAACAATTAGTAAACTCCCACATGGACTTGCTTTTCCTTTCATAGTATGGCTGTGATAGGTTTAAAAGTGATTTTTGCCTACATATTCAGGTTAAAAAATGTTTTCAGTATAAAGCATGAGTTTGGAAGTGACTCACCACATATGGAAGTACTTCAAAATGCATGCCCTTAACTACTATTTGAATTTTTATAGGTTTGTAGTTTTGCTGACTGCAAGAAAATAAAAGGCCCAGTGCCAGTTCTTACTGGGTCAGGATTTATTTTAAAGTACCAGCATTTCCTCAGCTTTTTGATACTTAAAATGTCCTGGAGATTTTCCTGCAAAAAGTTTTAACAGGCTTTATTCCACTAAGGAAAGTTCAGAGTGTTTATGCCGTGGTAGTAACAAAAGCAATGTATTTGGTTAATTTGCAATAGAAATTGCCAGAATCTAGACTACCCTAGAAACATATTTTTATTTGAAGAGTCTAGTGGGGTCCAGCAAGGACTTGTCATTATATTTGTGTCTTTAGCACAGCTCTAGGAACAAAAAGCTTGATGAATGATTTATAAACAGATGGTTAATTTTTCATGAAATGATCAGGAGACGAGCTGACCAAAGCAATAGGTCTGACACTGTCGAGGATTATTGGGGAGTGGTTGTGGAATGCCTTAATGTGAAACACACTGACTTGAGTTTGAATCCCAGAGTTACCTGTTAACTGGGCAAGTCACCCAACTTCTCTGAGTCTCACCTGTAAGACTGGATGATATTTAGTGAGATAATGTATCTGTTAGCACTGTTGTCCGTAACAGGTATTTCCCTGTGTCTGATTAATAAAAGTTAAGCATAATAACTGACAGTAACCCACTAGATAATTGCTTTAAAACTTACATTCCATGTTGGAAGTCACCATTAGAGTATAGAAGTCTATTTGAGGCTACTTAAAATCTTTAATAAACTGCATTTCAGCCAAAATAGTGTTTATAGGTAAATGGATTGAAGTTGACACAGGCTGTGATGTGGTGGTTTTCAACCAGACGAGATGATCTAGGTATGAATCCCAACCCTGCCACTTACTTACTATTGCTGACTATGGGCAAATCATCTTACCCTCTTAAGGATCAGTGTTCTCATCTGTAAAATGGGGATAACTTCAAGGAGTTATTTGAGAATTACTGTATAGGAATGAAGCCCTAGCATTTAACACAGTTCTTGGCATGCGGTATGCAGTATTTTTTAGTTATTTTGTTATTCCTTGGATACCCCTTTAGAAATAGCCTTGACTACTTGTGGGAAATATAGTCCTGAATTTTTTTACATAATGATTAATGTTTGAATTTGGGGATTAGATACATTTTAATTTTTATTTGAATAATGCTTATCTAGTTAACTTACCTTGAGATAAGGTACCTCAGAGATGATCATTTTAATTTTTCAGCTTTCTCAGTGGCTCATCATTTAAAAGAACCGTATTTCGAATTAAACAGACTAATTTATATTTTTATAAAAACATTTTTACATCACACACATTTTTTGGTTATTCTGTGGCTTCACACCTTTAATTGCAGTCTTAACTTACCCTTCTGCTGCCTCTCCTGCTTCATTTCCTGAATGTAGAGTGACCCAGAGAAGACGCCAGGGAGAGTAGAGGAAGCAAGGATTGTATCTGAGATCAGTAGATCTTTGTAATCAACCTTACAGTGATCAGATATCCTCTCTGGACTAAAGTTCTTAGTTAAATTGATTCAATTACTGCTCTTTGAAGTTTTACCAACAGAATTACTTTTATGCCTTTGTTTACTATTGGAGAATATGATGAGAAGGTTTTGAAGGAAATCCCTACTTTTTTCAGTGACTTCAGATAGTTTTTGTTTCAGAGCCATCATTCATCCAAATAATTTTTTCAAAAATGACAGCTAATGCAAGTACTAGTAAATAATTACCCCGTATTACAGATACTATGTTAAGTACAGAATTAAGCTTATCCTATGGTAAAGTTTTAAAAAAATATCCTCTATTTTGCTCTTATTTTGTCTACAGTAAGTTACGTGACAGTACAAAGAGTTTATTGGAATTTCAGAGTTTTTAAGACTTTTATGAGGAGGCAGTGTGTGGTTTGTTAGGTGGTTGTAGTGAGAATTTGAAGAGTTCTGGTTTTGGGTAGTCATAGTTCTGGCTTTGTTACCAGTGGTTTGGCTTTGAGTTAAAAATCAAAACCCTCTGACTCAAAATTATCCCTTTGGCTCAAGCTATCACTGACCTACTTTCTTCCTCCCCCTCCAAACTAGGATTATTTCAGAGATGAATGGGAGCATCTCATGTATGATGGTGCCCCCAACTGCCTTCCAGAGTGTATACACATAGAAAGGGAATCTGTTTTAACTTAAATCATCATCTCCTGAATTGATTTGACCTTGGGACTTCACCTCCTCCCTCCCTACCACCCAACCTCCTCCCTCTTTTCCTCCCTCTGAATGAGCACCTGTTCTGTAGAACATTGTTAAGTATGTAGTCATTGGGGTCATCATTGTAGATTTAACTTATTAAAGCTCTATATTTGTACTGCCTTTGCTTTGGTTATATGTTTATTTTCAGTTCTTAATTAAGAGGAAACACTGTTTATAACATATTATTCCTGTGAGAAAGTGTGATTTCCACTGAAATATCTTGTTTCATTGTTGTACAACATGTTCTCTAGGCATGCAGCAGGAAGAAAGGGAAAACACCTGACTTCCATCAGGTGGATGACTCTAACTTAGTGTTAGTTTGACTTAACCCATTGTGGGAAACTGTGTGAATATTTGAAAAACTTTTCTGTGTTAATAAAAGTATTAGTAATAGAAGGCCTTATTAAAAGTATGTCAACAGTTAGGATATATCTTCTCACCCAACAAAAACTTTGGAGTATTGGCAGTTAATGAATTGTCATAATGATCTTATCAGTGACCCACATGGTATTTTCTGTTTTCTACTCTGCCATCTTGAGTGACTTGGTGATGTCACTATTCATTGTTGAAAGATGGCCATTTTCTCACATTTCCTTGTCACCTTCATTGGTCATAATTATATCATATACCCATGGTTAAGCCCTGCCTCTTATTATCAGAGTAGAAATTGTTTATCACAAGTAGCTTTACCTAATTGGGATTCACCTCCTGAGGAGAAGAGGGTGAGTTTCTGCGGGCAAATAAGGAAGGGGACAGTGTGTTTTTGAGGAGGTCACTGCAGTGTTTGTCACAGCTGGTGAGGCTCGCAGTTTTGTTCATCTCTGCAGACTCTCTTGTGAGATCACAAAATACAGACATATTTATTATTAATTTGTTTTACTTTATTATAGACAGGGCCTCACTCTGTTGCCCAGGCTGGAGTGAAGTGTGGTTATTAGCTCACCATGGCCTCAAACTCCTGGGCTCAAGTGCTCTCCTGCCTCAGCCTCTTAAAGCACTGGGATTACAGGTGTGAGCTATGCAACCCACCCAGTCAGATTTATTGAGTGCCCACTGTATTTTGGTTATTCTTCTAAGTCCTGGGGATACAACAGTAAGCAAAAGAGAAGGAAAAAATTGCTACCCTCCTGGAGCCTACTTTTCATTGGTGAGATAGACAAATAAGATAAAACAATTCAAACTATGATATCTTATTAAGTTATAAATAAAAATTGAAGCAAAGAAAGGAGAATGGAGGGTCCTGAGGGCAGGGGAAGGGGAGATATCCGTGAAGTTTTAGATGACATCCAGGGAAATCCTTACCCAGAGGATGCCTAGAGTAAGGGCTGAGTCATTGTGGGAGCTAGTGAGGTAGCCGTCTGGGGAGGAGAGTATTCCAGTTGAATTTCCTGTGGCTGGAGTGGAGTGAGCGAGGAAGAGTCAGAGGAGATGAGGCCAGAGGGGGGAAGCCACTAGATAGTTTTGAGCAGAAGAATGGCCCAATAGAATATTTTAGCAGAATCACTTCAGCAGTTGTGTTAAATAGACCAAAGAGGTGTCAAAAACAGAAGCAAGGAAACCAGTGAGGAGGCCCTTATAATAATTCAGGAGAGAAGGAGATGACTTGAATGGAGTCAGTAAGACGTAGCTGGATTCTGGATTCTGGATTCCAAGGTAAAGCCCACAGAGTTTACTAACACATTGGATGTGGGCATGAGAGGAAGAGAGGCATCTCGGTTGGCAGCCTGAACAACTGGAAGAATGGAGCTGATCTGAGATGAGGAAACAGGGACTCCGTTATTGAGATACTACACTTGAAATGCTTAGAGAACCCCAAATGGGGATGTCAGATAAACACTTGTTTATATAAACATTTTTCTGACCAATATATATTCTTAAAAAGAATGATGGTGGGCATTAATAATAGGAAATGACATTTAAAAGAATATAATTTCAATAATAACAATAAATAATAGGAAATAGAAAAATTAAATGTTATATGGAGTGGATATTTTCTGTTCTTTTGAACAATACAGGGAAACACTGGAAGTAATTTTAAAATAGAGTATTCAAAGAAACATTTGTATGCTGAACATTTATTTAGTGCCCACTTTAGTGTTAAAAATGCATATTAAATATATTTATTATTTGAATCAGTGCCTCATTTTTCAGCCCCAAACCTTGTAAAATAGTATACATTCAAAAAGAAGTATACCACAAGGAATAATGGTGTGGATTTAGTTTTATGTCTGTTTCCTCTGTAACATGAAGCAATGATCCTTCTAAAGGAAATGTGTTATTAAATAGACAATCTTACCCCACTCCAACTTCCTCAGTATTGTGTAGCCTGTAGTTAATGTGCAAGCACATCATTAACAAAGAAATCCAAGCCCACAGAAAGAGTCAGTACAGTATATCTTACGTGAGTTCATCAGGATGAATGGCTTCTTGCTCCCTTTCTTTTGAAGAGGAATTAGTATAAGATGTCTTTTAACCAGATTATTGTACTCATTTGCATTTAACAAGAATGTAGCACACAGCTAAGATTTTCAATCCGTGTGCATTACATAAAATACCAAAAAGCACCGTGTACAGTACCTTTCACATGATAGATACTCCAGAAGTATTTGGATAGCAAATTTGATTTAGAACATCATTCACATTTCTAACTTATTTAAAAGATTTTTAAATATTATGCTACATGCAGTGGTTATTGCTTAACAATGTGTGCTCTACCTGTAATAAAACGTTGTTGAGAAAATTGAATTGTAATTGTTTTTTTGGATAGAAGTACCATATAGTGAACATAAAAAGTTATTTATTGTGCAAAGAAACTTTGCTCTTTAAGATGGATTAAGTATTTCTCATCAGTTTTGGCTGTCATGGTGAATATATGATTGCTGGCCTATATATGATCAACTAGAGAGAAAAAAAAGCCCGTTTATAGATTTAGAGGAGAAATGCAGTTTGTTAAGAACCTGAAGTGTATTGAATTACTCCAGTTTACCTATTCCTCATGTTAAGTAATTTTTGCAAAATGACCCTCTCCCATCACACATTTTGAAATTTGCAGCAATCAAGTAAGCAAGCATTTATGTTAACTTTATTTGAGACCAAGCAGTGGTAGATATGAATTAGCCTCATTTTTTGATTGACCAAGCTATAAGTTTTTATCTACCAGTTAGTTTTCTAATTCTTTTGAGTGTATCTCTTTATCTATTCCTTTGGGTTTGTAACAAGGAGAATAAAGAAAATCTGTTGCCTAACTCCTAACATTTGTTCATGTGTGAAAATTATTAAGATGATGCTTACCTAAACATGATACTTGTCAAAGCTCTGATTTGCCACAATATAGCCACTTTGTTTCTATTATGTAAGTAACACTTTGTGTAAACAAGAATGTATTTGAATTATGGGGCACAGTATTAAAGTGATCTCCCAAAATCCTATCATCGAGCATAGAATCAGACTTAACTACCACAGTTGCATCCATTGGTGTATTGTTCTCCTTGCCCCGGTGCCTTGCAACCACTTTCTTCAATTTTGTGTTAATCATTTACTGTCCTTTAAATAATACTGGTTTTTACATTAACCTTTAGATAATATGTTACTTTTTGTTTTTGTTTTGTGAAAATGGTAGCATTCTGTATGAAGTCTTTGGATACTTGCTTTTTCATTTTTTTATTTTAATTTTTGTGGGTACACAGGTGTGTGTGTTTGTGTATGTGTGTGTGTGTGTGTGTGTGTGTGTGTATATATATATATATATATATGTATGTATATATTGATGGGATACAAGAGATGTTTTGATACAGGCATGCAATGTGAAATAAGCACATCATGAAGAATGGGATGTCCATCCCCTCAAGCATTTGTCCATTGAGTCTCAAACAATCCAGTTACACTCTTTAAGTTATTTAAAATGTACAGTTAATGAAATTTGCTTTTTTAACTCATCATGGTTTTTTTTAATTTTTTTTTGCTGCTGTATGTAGATATAGTTTATTTATTTCCACTCCTGGGAAATACACCATTGTGTGAGTTTATTTCTTCTATTGGTGGACATTTGGGTTGTTGCTGGGTGCTTTGGTTTGCTTGTTTTTGTTTTCTTTTTGATGTATCTATATTGATATACTTAGATACATATATGTTGATGTGCTTACATTCACACACATATGTATAACTATTATAAGCATTGTTGATGTCAATGTTCTTTTTATATGTGTTCCAAAGAAGATTTGCAAGATTCCAGGATATATACCCAAGAGTAGATGTGTAGAGAAAGCTTAGTTATCTGAAATAATATGAAATTGTTTCCAATGTCATCAGACCAGTTCACATTTCATTAGTAATATATCAGTTCTGTTGAGCTACATCTTACTATGGTCTTGATTTACTTTTCTGTGATTGCTAATGAGGCTGAACATCTTCTCGTGATTTTTCATCATTGGTGTATTATTTTATGAAATTCTCATTTATGCCATATGTCCATTATGTACTTAAAAGTGTTAGTTTATACATTTATATTTTACATATTTTTAGTTCTAAAATAACACATACAGAAAAGTTACACGTACAATATAGTAGAACTTTTTTCCTCTGTTGACTTAATGCCTTATTACCTATGAATAAACAAATGTGTGTTTCCCAGAAAGAAACAAGACCTTGTCCTGTAAATCAGAACAAAACCAGCAAAATAATTGATCGTTACTACTATCTAATTCTCAGAGCTCATTCAAGTTTCCAAGTTGTCCCAATAATGTCCTTTATAGCAAAAGGATTCAGTTTAGAATCACATGTTGCATTTTACTTGTCTCATATTTTTAGTATCCCTCAGTCTGGAACAGTTCTTCAGTCTTTTACTTTAAGGATGCTGGCATTTTGGAATACCATGTTGACCTGTAATTTTGTAGAATATCTTTACCTTTAGGGTTGTCTTCTGTTTCCTCATGATTAAATTAGATCCATGTTATGAATATTGAGCGGGAATATCACAGAAGTGTTGCTGTGTTGCCTCTCTGCATCCTGTTCTGTGGCACAGTTTCATTTTGACCCATTACTGTTGATTTTCTTTGGGATTACTTGATTAAGATGGTGTCTGCTAACTTTATCTACTGTGAAATTACTGGTTTCCCCTCTGTAATTAATAATTATGTTGCATGCAGGTGCTTTGAAACTATGTAAAACCTTTCCTGATTACAGTTTTAGTTAATTTGTATCAGTGTGTGCTCATGAGCCTGTTTTATTTAGTGAGCTGTAATCCATTACTATTGTTACTTATTTTGGTGCTCATCTTGTCCCTGATTTAGCCAGT